AGGGATATTTGTTTCTATTTGAGGCTCTTTGAACTTTCTACTACGTAGGGTTTGCCAAGGAAAATTCCTCTTTAACTCTATTAAAACGTCTTTTTGTCCCTTGGCTCAAAGTTACAAGTATTTGTTTTAGACCATCTGACTTACCCTAAATCCTCATTCTCTCTGTGCAACACTTCTCTGTCTTTGTTAACTTCTGTGTTGTTGGGGTAAGACAACCTGACAAAAGCGATCTAAAAAGGAAAGAAGGGTTCCTTTTGACTCAAACTTCAAGGGTGTACACATATATATTCCTATCATGGCAGTATACACCCCTATCAAGGCAGTATACACCCCTATCAAGGCAGTATACACCCCTATCAAGGCAGTATATACCCCTACCAAGGCAGTATATACCCCTACCAAGGCAGTATGTACCTCTATCAAGGCAGTATTTACCCCAATCAAGGCAGTGTGTACCCCTCTCAAGGCAGTATATATCCCTATAGAGGCAGTCAGGGCTTGAAAAACTCTGCTCACATTGTCTCTGCAAAAAGAAAGAAGAAAGCCATTTGTGTTCTACTCAGCTACATTCCTCCCAGAACACAGGCTGCTCTTCTTTGGGCTGAGTTTTCATACTTCAAATAACTTCATCAAGATACTTCCTCACAGGCATGGCTAGAGGCTAATACAATCTAGATAATCCTTCACAGTTACGCCCAGAGGCTTATCTTCTAGATGATTCTAGATCCTGTCAAGTTGATAGTCAATATTAACTATCACACTGGTTGTTACATTTTTTTTTATGTCATCTGTTTTGCTTTCTCCTTTCTTCCAAGGCTTCCAAACACAATAAACGAGTTAACATTGTCCTAGTACAAACATAAATCAAAATCAGATAGGACAGAGAAATTAACAATTCGTTGAAAGACAGTATTATCCTAATGCCAGAATTAAACAGCAAAGTGTATAAAAACATAAAACTTTAGGACAACATCTCGAATGAAAACAAAAACATTAAACATTGTCAGTAAAAGACTATCTAGTAAGATGCAGGAAGGATAACCCATCAGAGCAAAATAGAGGGTATGGTAAGAATACAAGGATCCCTCAAAATTCAATCTGTCTAATTTATCACATATGTGAACTGCAAGGAGTATCAGCACTGTGTCCTTAAAACTCCCTTTCCTATTTCCACCTCAAGGGGGCGATGAAATGTCTGAACATATTAACAGGGCACTCTGGAGGGCCAAAGATCCAAAGGGAACTAGTATCAGCTACAATAGACAGTAATATTTAGAACAGACCTGTTTTCTGAATTTATGCTGAGTTGGCTGTTCCTTGGAATGCTGGGTGTAAAAGGACAAAGGAAGGTGAGCTAATGTCACTGTGTTTCTAACCTTAAAAACTCGTCTCTCTGCGTTAGTTGAGAAAAGTAAGGGGATGTGATGGAAAGGACAAATACTTCCGGTCCATCCCACATGCATGGGACTATAACCGTACTCCCCTGAATAGAAAGAATGGAAGGGTCTGGAAGGAGTTCGGGGCAGGGAAAGAATACAATCAAAATATATTGTAAGAAATTCTCAAAGAACAAATAAAAACATTGAAAAATGAATAAAGCAAGTTGAGTCATCTACCATATTTAAGCTTACTTTAAAACTACTTTAAGCAACTGCATTATTGATGAAATTGGATATCTGGATCTATTAAAGAACATGGTGATCTCAGAAATACACAGATGAGGTCACTGTTTCTCAATAACTTTGCAAAGAAATTTACTAGAGAAAATGTGATTGCCACAACAAAAGCGTCAGTCAGGACAATTGGATAGAAACTGGGAGGAAAAAAAAATAAACTCCCACGTACACATGGATACACAACCATAGTCACATACATGCACACACATACACACATCTTATAGTCACATATATGCATAACACACACACACACACACACACACACACACACACACACACAGTCTTACAAAGAATAAAAATCCAAGGACTGGGGAGATGGCTCAGGTTTTAAGAAGACCTGGGTTGAGTTCCCAGCACATGGTGACTCCCAGTCATGGGCAACTTCCATCCCAGGGAACTTTAATGTCCCCTGCTGGCCCATAGGACATACATGCACATGGTAGGCATACACACATGCAGGAAAAAACACCCATATGTGTGTGATTCATGATTATGACATATATGGTTTAATTTAGAATTCTCATAGTACTTAAGGTCATCCAACATGTTTTGTGATAGAATATGAAAACTGTCGTAAGCTGTAAAACTCTTTATAAGTAGTTTATAGATCTCCCACAAGGATAGATTAGCAAACCAGGAAAATGGTTATGTTATCCAATGTATATCAGATGTGAGGTTCATATCACTTAAACTACAAAACTAATTCTGAAAGTCCAATGGCAAAATCTATAAAATAGTATAAATACAGTTTGTAGTCTCTGAATAGGTTTGCAAATCAGTCACATAAATCGGAAATTGGAAAGATCCAAGTACTTTAAAATGGAACAGTTACATCCATTTTGATGGTGAAAGTTATTCTGTATGGTAGATCTGACTAACTGGATAGACACATTGATACATGTACATGCTATGATAGCCATATATGTATCTAAAGTAAACAAAAACTAGATTTGGTAGTGGGGTTATTGTACGTTTTTATATTTCTTTGTTTGTGGTTGTATTTGTTGCATTTATTACAAAATTAAGAATGAGGGCTGGCAAGATGACTCTATGGGTAAGGCATTTGCTATGTAAGCATGGTGACCTGAGTTTTCTGGCACCAACATAAAATGGGAAGAAAACAGACTCCACAAATTTGTCCTCTCACCTCCACATGTGTGCTGAGGCATGCATGCCCACACATACATGCACATACCAGACAACAATACAGGCAAAAATTATTACACCTTGTTTTAGTTGAAGAGAGTGTTAATATAGGTATTAATCTCACCATACTATGACAATGCCTATAAAACAAGTGTGGTATGAAACACTGTTTAGTATTCCACGGTACTATTAAGATCCCTTGGATAAAACATTTCCTAACAAAAATATTCCACTCTCTAATTTGGATTTTTCTTAAGTGGAGCTTTCTATACAGCTAGCTTTCTTAGAGTGGATCACTGAATTATTCTCTTACAGTATATTTCACTTTTATAAGCAAATGAATCTCTGGAGGTTGATCATTTCACTGTGAATGAACATGCATTATGACTAACATTCAAAGGGAATTCTGATTATGCCAATCTTGGTATTTGGAGAACTAAAAGAAATCATCTAAGTATGTTTCTCCCTATATACTCTCTGAGATACAGACAAGGACTATGGCAAGAAAGCAAGTCGAAAATGAAGACTTCAGTTCTCTCTACAGTGCACAGACCTGCACTTTCACACAAACACCATCTCTCTTTGATGGAGTCATTTATTCCCTAAGAAGCAAAGGTTAGGAGTGCATTTTTTAAAAAAATAAAGTCATATTGTCATATGGAATGCAGGTGATTTTTGATCACTAAGTCCAAATTACAACACCTGCCAGTGACCTTGAATTGTTACTTAGAATTAGGACCGCAGGAAATTCAAAGTAAGCAAGCCGGTGAATTCTTTTCCCACCCATATACTGAGAGAGGTACTCTCCAGGGATGATACTGGCTCACGTAGCTTGAAGATGTGATTGCCCTTGTTTAGAACTTCATGGAACACTTACTGACAGCTCTTCACTGAGAAATGATTCCCTCTTTATCAGTCTGGTGGGGAACATTTGATAAAAGCCTCCCTTTCATCTTACCAAAATAAATCTACACCTAACAGCAAGAATCAATAACAGACAGATGTTTTCAACTATCATCCATGGATCCCTTTGTGTGTGACTCTGTCCAGATCTAAGTGTTTCCTTTCAATCACATCAATCTACCAAAGTAATAATGTAACCAGCAATATATCATTAGTGCATGAACCAGCAGACATATGCTGATGTTATCAATTCCAGACTAGGAAGGGCCATGATGTGACAATGTTGCCCAAGGACAGAAGCTGCTAACAACTAAGAGAACACCTCACAGGGGAAGCAATTACAGAAACCTGAAGAACTCCAAATATGCAGTAGATGAGATGCAATAAATAACAGAGAGTCATGTCACCTCACTGAATGTTAGTCACCTTCAGATAGAGGCATGGGATCCAAGAACAGCTCTTTTCTCTTTTCCTTTTCAGGTGAGAGCGGGTCAATGTCTTAAAGGAACACCGCCCCCCAACAACAACAACAAAAAGTTCCAGGAAGCAAACCCATATTCAGTTTGTCAAACCCGAGGCTAACCTCTGAAACCACACTACACTATGACAGACATTTCAACTCATAGACCTGTCTCATTTGCCTGCAAGGTAAATAGGTGGTCATGCAAGTCTAATTGTTATCAACTTAATCAAGGCCAAATATGTATCTCTATACATACATACATACATACATACATACATACATACATAGATACACACATACATACATGGCTTGTCCTTTGCTAATATATTATCCATATATTCTCACAAGAACTTTAGTACATCTGTGGGATTACGAATTGTTTAAATTCTCAAGTTACATTTACAGCTTCCAACAAAGAAAGGAGACAGGCAAAAAAAAAAAAAAAATTTGGCAATGCATTTAAACCAAATTCGAGTCTCTCACAAATCCAGAATAAGGCATGTTACCAAAAGTAATTAACATTTGCTGAAAATCAAAAAAGAGGCGTGGCTCTGATGCACAAGAGAAGCCCAGCTTGGCTCTCCATGTTTTCTTCCTAAGACAAACTGAATGGACTCCAAATAATGAGGACATCACAAGGTATTCTTCTTGCACTCATTTCTTCCCATCATAGAATCCTCTCATACTGGAGCTCTCTTAAATCTGGAACACTTTCTACATGATTAAATGTGAAACCTGGCCAGCTGCAACCAAACGCTTCCATGTACATTTAAACATGGAACATCATGATGTATTGTACAGGTTTGTCTTACCGTAAAGCTATTGGGCCAAAGTACATAAACAGCTCTTTCCCCAAGGTTTCCACGCCACTGTAAACATATCCATTAAACAGTCTCAAGAATTCCCAGCCACAATCCTTAGTATTCACTGTAGCAGCCTAGAAGGAAATACATACATATATTACACACACATACACATGAAACCTTTAAACACAATTATAATGCAATTCTTAAATCCATTCCTATTATTCCATGACCAGGTACATTCCTAAAAGAAAAGTGAACTCTAAGACACCAAATAATGGAATCATCTATACACATATTTTTTCAATTATTATTATGCAGTGACTGGAAAAGAAAATGGCCAATGTTTTTAATTGAAAAATAAAAGTCACTGTAAATAATGAAGATGACCTTTTCCCAAAACCATAGTGTGTGTTTGTGTGTGTGTGTGTGTGTGTGTGTGTGTGTGTGTGTGTGTGTTTCATGCACGTACATGAAATTATGGAAAGTTATGAGAATTTTGTTAAAACTAACAAATAAAGCTTTCTACTTCCAGAAATATATATATAGTCAAGGTCCTTGAAGGGCTATTCCGATTGGACTGCTAAAAGAAATGAATGAAATATGAAAACAAAGATTTTAATTGTACTAGTGAAATTTTCAGCAATTATAGTTAAGTCAAAAATCCGCCGGGGGTGGGGGTGCACGCCTTTAATCCCAGCACTCGGGAGGCAGAGGCAGACGGATCTCTGTGAGTTCGAGACCAGCCTGGTCTATAAGAGCTAGTTCCAGGACAGCCTCCAAAACCAAAGAGAAACCCTGTCTCGAAAAACCAAAAAAAAAAAAAACCCAAAAAACAAAAACAAAACAAAACAAAAAAACACACTAAAAGTTGGAGAGAACTAGCAAAGCCCTGAGCTAGGCTGCAGCCCAAGTACACTTAGGAGAGCTAAGAAATGAGACCTCCCTTCCCATGGTCTGTGGAAGATGCCAATTAAAGCCTGGTGTCCAGAGTAGAGAATCTAATTCAAGATCCACCTCACTCAAACCATAATGTTAAACCAAGAAAAAGGAAATGCACTTTCCCTTCAGCCTTTCAAGCTGAGCAATATAGTTAGGATTCCAATTCATGTGATTGCAAACATAAACTAATGTAAAACATAAATATGAAATACAGGCTGTTTCATGGGGGAAAGTAAGGAACGGGATTTGGTTTAGATATCGGTAATGTTTGTTTTCTTAATCTGGGCAGTATATAAACCAGTGTTCCGTACATCATGCTGTATCATTTAGATACGCTTCACAGGCATCATTTAATGAACATTCAACATTTAATAGAAATATTAGACATATTTAATAAGGATGGAGACAGAGCTGAGTGGGTAAGAGGACTCACTACTGTTGCAGAGGACCGAGTTCAGTCCCCAGCACCTACAAAGAACTCATAACTAACTCCAATTCTAGAGGACCCCATGCTTTTTGTCTGGGCTCTTCAAGCATCAGGCACACATGTGGTGCACGTGCATAATGGAGATAAGACACTCCTGCATATAAAAATAACAAGAAATGCATTACAAAAGGTAAAATAGGCACAGATGAGACCTGCGCCTTTTTAAAAGATTTTCAAAATTACTTTAGTGTGTATGCAGAGGTACCCATCAAGGATAGAGCAGATCCCTCAGAGCTGGAATTTCAAGGATTTAGGAGGCACTCAGTGTGGATACTGGGATACCAACTCAGGTCCCTGTAAGAGCAGCAAGTGCTCTTCACTGTGAGGCCTTCTCTTCAACCCTAATCTATTTGAAATAATTTTAAAAATTTTATTAACATCCATCTATATGAGCTTAGACTCGCATGTTTCAGAGTTGCATGCATACCCTCTGGGGTCAGAAGAGGTTCATGGGTATCCCTTTCCTCACTCTGTTTTTTTCCTTTGAGATGGGGTCTTTCCCTAAACCGAGGCTTGTTTTCTCAAGTGGAAATCCAGTCCACCCTAGTGAGTGTCTTGTCTTTACCACACAGGGCTGGGTTACAGGCACTTGAAACGAATGCTCATTTTGGTAGGTGGGTACTCAGATCTGAGCTCTGGTCCTCATGATTCTACACCAAATTCTCTAAATAGCTGAGGTATCAATCTAGCCCTCTTCCTTGAAACACACACACACACACACACACACACACACACACACACACACACACTGCACGCTACACAATACACATTAACTCTTAATCTTGGATACTCTGTCATTTACCTCTGACTTTTTTTTTCTTTCTTCTCAAAGGGCCAGAGGTGGTGGCCCAGAAGATTCTGAATAGGGGTGAAAAAATGTCTTATCTAGTCTTCAATTTCAGGTAAAGTAATATTCTCCTACCATTTTCAAACTTCTGGTTCATGAGTACATGTTATTCTAAATCCTTAAAATTCTAATGTCTATTCTTTAATTTTACTAAATTGGTCTTTTTTGTTTTTAAGAAACTATAGTGTTTCTGAGAAATAACAAGCAAATATGTAAAAAGGCTAAGAACAGCCATTCTTCTACTGTTCAAGGTTGCAGTAGATATGGCTCATGTTATTTTCTACTGCCTAAAGTTGGGGGAACCTTACAGGGTTTTTAAGTCTTTTCCTTTACCTTTTCTTTTTCTTATTTCCTTTGGTTCTTTGAGATTGGGCCATGACAATCCTGGAACTCATCATGTAGACCAGACTGGTCTCAAACTTACAGAAATCCTCCTGTTTCATCCTCCCAAGTGCTGGTATTAAAGGTGTATGCTACCATAACTGGCTTAGTGGTTTGTGCTGGGTAATTAGTTATAGGCTCAGACTAATTAATTAATAAACACATAATAAACAAAAGCTTTCCAGTTCTGCATAAAACACTCGAAGAACCTGAGAGATTCTAGCATCAGAATTACTGGTTCAGGTGTCACCATGTCCTTAGAACTTGTGCGTCTGAATTCTCTCCTCTTTCACAAATGAACTCAAAGATCTATGTATGATTATCAAGTACTAGCAAGGCAGGCTAGAGGACTCAGTGAGGAGAAAACATGCATTCATATCTGCTTTGTTTCTGTAAACGAGTATGTGACTGTCCTGGATTGACTAACAGCAAGAGTCTTGCTTTTTTGTCTCCTGGAGTCTCTAAGCCACTTATATATACTTCAAGCCAAGCATAGACTACAATAGCAGATTTCAAGGTAGGTTTCCATAGCAACCAATTAGTATGTACAAAGTTCTTTAAACTAGCCAGGAAACTTTTAAGATGATGAAATACAGAGCAGACATAGATCTTTTAGGAATAACTTTTGTCTCTGTACAGATTAGGTCACACTTTGGGATCCCAGATTTAAAGTCTTACTGTCATTTTAAATTTTCATGTCTCAGAACCTTGTTTCTTCGCCATTTCAATGTCAACTCTCTTTTATTGAGCCCTATAAATTCTTCATTAGTATCTGCTTTTAACCATACTCTCTGAAATGCTCTATTAGGGCTTCCAGCAGAATGTCAGTGATGAATCATATCCCACTTAGCAACACACACACACACACACACACACACACACACACACACACTCAGGCCTAGCATGTTTCCCAAGTTCTTGGTTCAAAAGGAAATAACTACTTGTGCTTTAAGCTCACTTGGCCCAATATTTTTACAAGTTAAACACCAACCTTAACATCTACCCAATATCTGGTCAATTACAAATGCTTCCGTTAACTGCCGCTTTACTGTTTTTCACTTTAGGATTCTATACCATGTCCTTTCCCTACATAACTCACATAATTAGATGGTTCTTTCTACCATTTACTCCCTGCCCATACTTTTTTTTCTTTCTTTCCTTCACCCAGTTCTGACTTCACCTTGCTTTATAATGGCTCTTGGCAAAAACTCGGATGCTGTCACAACACTGAATAAAATAGTAAATGAGTCCTAATTGTCTCATGTGAAGTCTCCTCAAATTGCTACATTAACAGCTTTGACAAGACTTTACATCATTTACGTAAAAACTGTAGAAGCCAACAGCTCTGACAGTTCATGTCATTCTCTTTGCTTTGTCTACAGCTGATGCTCTCTGACAACCAAAGTGGCACATGACATCTACGAAGACAACTCTTTCCATTAGAAATGGCTGATTCATGACTGTTTAATTGGATTAGTTCATTTCAGAAAAGTTTATTGACTTCCTGGAATAGTCTAGACTGTGTTCTAGAAGGTGGGCAAATGAGCTCATGCTCTCATAGGGAAAGACTGGGAGAGGAGCATGAGAACAGTTTCTTGGGATATTTCAAAAAGAAATAGAGATTTGGAGTACAAGATTGCCAGGAGGGTGCAGCCAGTTGCAGTTTTAAATAAAGTCAAAGGGGAAGGCATTTGACCAAGTTTTAAATGAGATAAGGGATTGAGTTGTGGCTTTGGAAAAAGGAATAAGAGCGCAATGTCTTTCTTGTGTCCCAGGCGAGGGTGGCCACTGCACAGAGAACTAGTGGAAAAAGATAAGTGAGATCTGACATATAAAAGGAATCAGATTGTGTGACCCAAGGTCCAATGTAAGGAGTGGCTTTTTCTCCCTAATGGAGTACAGCAAAAATATGATCTACATTAGTATCACTCAGTGGCTGTTGGATAGAATTTTGGCTAAAGGAATTGAAGGTAAGAGTTTGGATATTATTTATGAGACAACCACAAAGATCTAGCTAAGAAACACAGGGATCTGGATGAGTGAGATATAGCATACTGAAAATGGCCAAACTTTTAAAATGTTTTCAAAGTCAAACATTAAGTATTTGCAGATAAATTGAATGAGGAACAGGAGTCTGGTGCCTGAATAATACAAAACAGGAAAGTCCCAGAGAGATCTGATGAAAACACATATGACAGAAAAAGTGGGTTTGGTTTTAGACATGCTAAGTTGAAATGTCTGATGCTAGGTGGTGAGGGTGCATGTCTTTACCCTCAGCACACAGGAAGCAGAGATGATGGGGCTGTCCTTCTGCATATGTTTATTCTGTTGGTTGATGGCCATTAGGGCAGCAAGATAGGTGGGTCTAGGAGACGAGGAGAATTCTGGGATTTGTAGGCAGAGGAAGAGTCATCATGTGAGCTGGGCAAGAGAGGAAGCAAATCAGGCATTCTCTGGAAAGATAAGACTATGTAGAA